TGATGCCAGGGGCTTAAGTGGAGAGCAAATGTTTTGTGAATGATGAGGGCAATGAATGTGCAAATGTGCTTTACACAACTGATGTGTGTATGGATTGTGATAAGAGTTGTATGAGCCCCTAAAAAACGATTAAATAAAAACAAAACAAAAAAAACAACCAGTAGCCTGTCCCCTTATCCGGTTTTGCTTTTCTTCAGCAACACATAAGCATCCTCGAGATTCCGTGCATTATCTCCGGGCCCTAATAGGAGCGAGGGCTTGATGGGAGTGTTCCCGTGACAGTATCTGGGGTGGGGTGGGGCGTGGGCGGCAGAAACTTGGGGAAGGAATTTGAAATCAGCACCCGGAGGCATCGGAAGGCTCAACGGCCAGGTGGGCGAAGAACCCATAGGAACCTTTCCGCTCGAAGTGGGCGGCGCCGAAAGGACATCCGCGGGCCCTGTGAGCGGCGGGCAGGCTGGCCCGAAAGCTGAAAGAGCCCGGATGGAAACAGAAAGGCTAAGCCTGATCTCGCCGGGCCTTACCTGATACTGGGAGAGGGAGGGCTCGTCGCCGCCGCCGCCGCTGAGGCTCCGAAGGCGAACCACTAGGAAGGCGCTGCCTTCCCCGTCCCACAGGAAGATCTCTCCGCCGAGGCCGAAAAGGAGGTTTCTCGTCAGCGACGGCGGCGGCGGGGGCGGCGGGGACGACGCCGAGTTCTCCGCTTCGGCGGGGCTCTGGTTCTTCAGTCCCTCTCGGAGCCGCAGGAACACGGCGTGGTTAGGGAGCCGCGTCTGCCACAGCTCGCCGTCGCTCCCGGGGCCCTCAGCCGCCGCCATCTTGACTCTCCTCATCCCACTTGCTCAGCCCGCCGCGGAGAGCAGCCAATTCGTGGCTAGTCCGCACGACCACAGCCAATCTACGAGCGGGCGGCCGGAAACGGGAGTGGGGCTGGGGGCGGGGCGAACATAAGACCCGCCCACCATCTGGGGAAGAGCCAATCTCCTCGTCAAGCACTGGTTCTGAAGCCCAAAGGGGGCGGGATGAGCAAATCAACAGACTAGTGCATGTTTAGGGAACCCTTCGGAGCTGGGAAAAGTCTAGCTGGGGAGTGCCCGGTATCTGCGTATTTCATTGTGTATTGGACATTGTGCAAAGAACCCAGGTACCCAAAACCTCCTCTCAAAATTCACGCCCGTAAGAGCAAAAAGTGTTGGAAATAAAGCAAAACATAGGGAAGTTTGATTAATTAATTGTTGAATGTTAAATCTGATCAACCAATCTTCAGCTAATGCACACAAAAGTTCAATGAAAAAACAATTCAATTCCCCCATTGCTCCCCCCGTGTTGGAGTTGCCTCACGAATGTCAGTCAATCTCCACTTGGGGGTAAAACAACACTTCCCAGAATCCTCTGCTCTCCGGAGAGCGAATAAGCGCTAGGAAACTACAGCTCCCAGAATTCTGCGCGCTTCGAAAGGCGAGCGCTTTCTGGAGACTGCTGTCGCCGGGAGGCGCCGGCCATGGCCAGCCCGTCGGGGTCGCCGCACCGCTCGCTGTATAAAGTGGTGGGCTCGCCGCCTTGGAAAGAGGCGTTCAGGCAAGTGAGTGTGAGCTTTGTGACTAGCCGGGCTGCATACCCCTCCCTCGTCCCCGCGAGCCTCTGGGGCCCTCTGAGGTGGACCCCGAACCCAAGCTCCGGCTTATAAGTTTGGGACTTGGTTGCTGCCCAGCCGCCCCCTCACAGTTCCTGGCGCCAGGCTGGCCCCGAGCCCGGAAGCCTTGTTTTCGGGTTTGGGATTCTTTTCTCTTAGAAATGTGGGACCCTCTCCGCGCCTGACTCGGCGAGGGGCCCTTCGGGCTGCATTCTCGAGCGGAGTAAACGGAGGCTCCGTTCCGAAGGCGGAGCAGGCTCGGACCCCGTCAGCCCGGGGCTACTCGGAACTCAGCGCGGCTCCCGGAGAACGAACCACGGTTCTCCGCTCCAAGTAGCAGAGAGAGTCCGGGAACGTCCGCTCCGCCGGGCACTCTGCGGGGAGCCTGCGTCCTTGAGGGAGCTGGCCTCGCAGCGTCCCTGGTCTGAGCTCCTCAGGTGTCCATCATCCCTCAACTTGTGACAACTCCAAATGCCTCCAAGCACCAAACTCACTGCCATCGAGCAGTCGCCCACTCCAAGGGACTCTGTGGGACAGGGTAGAACTGCCCCTGTGGGTTTCTGAGAGGGTACGTTTATGGCAGTAGAAAGCCTGCTCTTTCTCCCGGAGGAGCGGCTGGTGGTTCCCAACTGTCCATCTTGGGTCAGCAGCCCAGCTCGTACCTGCTGCTACTCCGCCAAGGCGCCCCAGAATGCCTTCAGACTTTGGGCGACAAATGACCAACCCCACCACCACCCCACCCAAAAAAGAAACGGGTGGGGGGAAGGGGGAAACTTGTTATGCAGGAAGGCAGACATCACAGGCATATGAAGAATGTAGCCAGAGTTTGACGTAATCTAATAGGCTGCGAATGCACCCAAGGTTAGTAAAGACGGCACTGAAGACGCTATGAATGATCTGAAAAGAACATGAAATAAGCATTGACATTTCGCCTGAAGACGTGCAAAGGCAAAGTGAGGGTGGTTGAAGTTTTGTGTCAATCAATTTCCTGTAAGATTTTAACAACTTAGCTATGAGTTTCCAAAGAGAGAGAACTGCCCCATTTTTCACCCCCATCTTGTTCCTTATTCCGAGGGATGCCTGGAAAGAATGAAGAACAGCCGGGACAGGCTCCTGAACAGGTACCGCCAGGCTGGAGGCAATGTGCCCAGAGGAGCTCAGAACACCTTTCTAGTGCACGAGGTGATGGAAGAGGAGTGGAATGCTCTGCAGTCGGTGGACAGATGTGCAGAGACCCTGGCTCAGGTCAGCAGGCTGGGATGTGTGTGCAGGGAGAGGGCTACCGAAAGAAGAAACCAGCCTTCTTAGCACTTTCTGCATCTATGTACCTAAATCGGCGGAACTCCCTCCCAGGCCACAATCAGGATTATGATTTTAACCCCGATTTTTCCCCCTTAACGTTCAATTATTCTAGATCATTGGTTGCTAAATTCTAGCCTATAGACAGGATGCCTTGTTGAATCATCACTTAGGAGACAAGCAAACACAAAGTTGTACATTCATGTATCATTCTTTGTCTTACCCCTGGAAATGTGAACTCAGTACACGAGTTGGGAATCTCTTTTTTTTTAAAAGGTCTCAGGAGCGTTCTCATTGTAATCTTAGCCAAGGTTGGGAGCTTGGTGCAGATGTGAAACCTTTTACAGAGTATCAGGAGGAGCATTGGATGGAAAGCCATGAGTTCTGCGAGTCAAATTCTGGCCTTGCTGTTGACCCGTTAAGAACTTCCATTCTGTCTCTTTGAGCTGTAGTTTTCACATTTATAACACGAAGATGATGTTGCCAGCATTATGAGGGGATTACCCAAAATTCATGGAAAAGTCCATGGTCTTTTCATTGTATTTTTCCATGAACATTTTGAAGCTCCTCGTAGAAGAAAATATGGGGATGTGGTATAAAATAATGATGCATACCTAAATCAAACTCAAACCACTGCTGTCGAGGTGATTCTGGCTATAGAAACTCTTTATAAGATTTGTGTTAGTCTGGGTAGACTAGAGAAACAAATTCATAGACACTTGTGTACAGAAAAGAGCTTCATATAGAGTAATTGTACATTAAGAAAGCATCCCCGCCCAGTCCAGATAAAATCCATAAGTTCCGTATTAGCCCATATGTCCAGTGCCAGTCTGTAAATTCCTATTCAGAGGAATCTACATCACACAACACATGCAATGATGCTGAGTGCAGGAAGATCACAGGTCAGTGGGTGGAAAGTCTTGTGGATCCAGTGGTAGTAGAAGCATCTCAGTGCTGGCGTGGGTCTCCATGTGGCTCCTCCAGCTTAAGGCTCTGGCTGCAATAGCGAAGCTCCTTAAGGTCTGTTGTCAATAAGCATCAATAATCGAGAGTGAGGGTGTGAGCTATTTTATCTCCTTAGTGCCTCCAAATGAGGTCATCAAGCTGCGACCTGATTGACAGGCTAGATTCCACCCCTTCACTCATATCTCAAATTGACAACAGATTATGTGACTACCACAAGTTTCTGATATTAATCTTTATGAATAGAGCAGGCAGTCTCATCTTTCTCCTGCAGTGTAGCTGGTGGGTTTGACCAGCTGACCCTCCGGGTCAGTGCTTACCCTGTAGCCCTACCAGATTAAGTGCTTGCCTTACATCATCACAATTATCTACTAGTCACAATAACTCTCCCAGGCTGGCTTTATTTTCACTTTGCAGAGGCCAAAAACAAAGGTTTACTGAGATTAGGAACTCTCCTGGTCACCTTAGTGGAACCATGTATGTAACTGCTTTCAATAGACTGCCTCCCCCAAATGTGGCACCATTATTCTGTTACTGTGTGGTGTGGTCATTTGTTAATGATTTCTCAGCATCACCACCCCACCCCACCCCACTGTTGTATATTCTACAGATTCCCTGAGGGAAAGCCCGGTTCTTTAATCCAAGTTCCAAGTATGATCATGTGGGGTTTGGTGGCTGGTTAATGAGCTCCACTTTCTCTTGCAGGTGGAGGAGCCAGTGGGTCTGGCTGTGCTTGAGGAAATCCAACAGGAGCTGATCAACCAAGGTGAGTCCTAAGAGTAGTCCTTCCTACTGTATTTAATTGCTAATGCTGACCTTCCCTCTGAATAGGATTAGTTCTTAATTCCACTCCTCGACCTCCATCTTCAGTTTAATGTCCAGAAGTCTCTGTTTATACTTTGAAGACTTACCTGTCTTCTCACTAAGGGTCTTTGGTGTGTTAGGGCTGTGCTAAGAACTGCACATTCCGTAATACTGTTTTCTCCTTTGACTATCCTGCGAGACAGGATTAGACCGAGGTGGTGTCTTACCCAGGCAACACAGAGATGGGGGAGAGTTGGAGTTAGGAAGGAAAATCAGAAATATGCACCCCAGTTCCCATGTTTACTCTATCATCCCAAAGTACCTCTCAATTGATGGGTGAATAATGGTCCTCTCGCTCCATAGGCTACAACTTCAATGCAGTCTCTCCCTTTCATTCTTTACTGATTCCTCAGGGGTACATGAGTATCTAGTCCTGGGACATCTGTAGCACTGTGTGGAGTGCACAGTTTAGCACCTTATATTATTTATCCCACATAGCCCCAATTTAGGTCGGCTTAGTTTTTCTCACTGTCTCAAAGAGAAATAACAGAACGACTCTACACATTTACTTTAAGGCCTGAGTCAAACCAGATACGTAAGAGACCGAGAGCAGTGCCTTGTGTAGATGGATATTCCTGCTGTCAGTGGACAGCTTCTGCTGCCATCAAAAGTCAGTGCTCTGCACTGTCAGCTAATCTGGACAGTGAGCTCAGCAAGGGCAGGGGTCTTTTTGTCTTTGTTTTTGTGTCGTCCCCCCACTAGTTATCATTATGTGTCCACTACTGAATGAATGGACACACAGATTCTGAACATCACAGGTACTACCACTGAGGCACAGCTCATTTTACACACTACAGGGTGGGCCTGGCTTCAGAAGTAAGTCCTGGGACCCTGGCATTCTATATCTGCCCTTATAGCCTCTACAGACGTGTTCAAAGTTATCTCCTTGTCCCTTAGCCTCACTTCACACCTTAGGTGCACAAGGAGGGGAAAGACAGGTGGGGGAGGACCTGTAAGGTGATGGTACTGAGAGAGAGCAAAGCAGGTCTCCCAATTGGCTGTGTTGTTGCCTAAATGTTTTTGTACGGAGAGAGCCCTGGGCGGTGAGGCTCAGCCTTGAAGACAGGGCAGTCTGGGGGAGGCAAGGTGAAGTGCTGCAGATGCCCTTTGCCTTCCAGAACAGTCCATCATCAGCGAGTACGAGAAGAGCCTGCAGTTTGATCAACAGTGTCTCAACATCATGCTGGCTGAGTGGGAAGCAAACCCCCTCATCTGCCCTGTGTGTACAAAGTAAGTTTTTCAAAATGTTTTCATCACTATTGGTATCCAACCCCACTCCAAGGTGAGTGGTTTCCCTCCGCATTTGCTGCTAGAAAGGTTTTGAGGCTCCAGGTCTGGTGTTTGCGCAGACCCTGATGCGATGGAATCTCATTTCTGCCTTTTAGGTATAACCTGGGAATAACCAGCGGCGTGGTCGTGTGTCCCTGTGGTCTGTACATCCCATCTTATGTAAGTATTCCACACCTAGAGCTCAGATTTCAAGCCACTTCCCACATATGCCATGGAGTTTCAGAAAATTCCTGGAAGATTTCTCTTTTCATTTCATTTTTCCACAAACTTTTCGAAGTCCTTGTCTGTCTTTTCCTAATGAGGTTTCAGTGGTGTGCCAGAGCAGCACACATCTCTTCCCAGCTTCACATCCAGTGGTGGCACGGTAGTAGCTTGCAGTTGGTCTCCGTGAGTTATTTACAACATGGACATGGACAGACAACACAAACCGGGCGCCCCGCTACCTGCCCTCCAAGCACTTGTTGAACACTTATTGCACCCCTGCGGAAACTGTTTGTAGATCCGTTTGGAATCTGAAACAACTGTATCTGATCTCCTATAAAAGATTGGGATATGTATATTCAGATTTTAAGTGTGGTAGAAGCCCTAACATGATAGGGCCTGAAAGTCAACCCATGAGTGCAGCAGTTGGTTAAAGTGGTGAATTATTAAAAGGAAACATTTTATACGAAGTGCACGACATAGAAATGTATCTGCCAGTCTTGGAGTGAGACTGCGGATTGCAGATCTGAGGCCTCTTCACTTGGGTCTGTCACTCAGTCTGGACTGTTTGATTTCTATAAAGTGGGTCAAGAAGCTGAGTGCATAGCTTTACGATTTTCCCTCCCTGTCTTTTATCAAATTCATAGCCCCCCCCCCATTTTGCTAATCATGTTTCCCAGACATTGCACTTTTTAAAAAATCTTGAAAACAAAATCTCTATTTTTAATTTTCATATTCCATTGGTTTACCTGATAGACTGAAGTTTCTTAATGACAGTAGGAAGTACAATCAGCACCAACAGAACTGAGTCCAAACACAGCTAGCTGGCTCTCAGTAAGGGTGCTGTCAGGTGATGGAGGCAGCAGTGAGGGAGGCTAAGAAAGGAGCCTACAGGGGCTGAGGGCTTCAGTCAGTGAATCTTCTAGAAGGAATGGAGAACATTGGTTAATCTGAAAAGCTGCTTAGCTGGAGGCTGGGTCAAGAGGCTTGCTAATGCAATTGTGAGCCCAAAGAGCATACATATTAAAGGTCTAAGGAGCAGGCCTTACAGTGAGCCAGAGTGACATCAGTTGACGAGGAATCAGGATTTTTAACCTACTGACTGAGGTAACTAGGATTCAGTTGGAGTTTTAACTAGTTTACTTTTCAGTCTCCAGAGTTGACTGAGTCGAAGCTCCGAGCCTTCTTAGAGGATCGTGTACATGAGCATAGTATGCACTGTTCCCACATGCCTGGGTTTTCGGTCACCGAAGGAACTGGAGAGAAGCCCAATCTCCTCATGAGCTGTGTGGTAAGCCTCCCATGGGGGCCAGTGGCACGAGAGGCTCACTGGTCATTACTCCCACCTTCACACAAATAGAATCGCTTAGAAACTGGCATGTGTGTAAAGCTTTGAGGGCTTTTTGTGCCATTGAAGTAGTTATCACTTAAGATTCACTCAAGGACCACTGGGTTCAAGATCGTTGAGGAAGTCATGCTATAGGGTTGAGGATGAACTAGAAGAGGTGTGGCAAAGACAGGGACAAACCCACCTCATGCTCCTTATATCCCATAATACTTTAGACCCCAGCAGGAACGAGTCTCTCCAACCTCACTAACGGACTGTGTGCGATGCCACTGCTTCAACAGGGTTGGAAGGTAGTATCTTCCAGATAAAGCCATGGAAGCAAACAGTGTCCAAGGAACAGTTCTTTACCACAATGGTGGGCTGAGAATGAATCAGGAGCTAGTTTTGTACTGTTGAATGCGTATTGATCTAGAGTAATGGATGGTGTCTGCCTGTGGTGAGCAGTTTGTACTTCTGCCGTGATACATGTTGCTATTGATGACAACTTCTAACTATCCTCTGAGGCAACTTTCCTCATTGAAATGCAAGTTAAGGTGACTTATTTTTCTATTTAAATCCACCAGGCTTGTGATTTTTGGGCTATCATCCTCTAGAACCAGCCTTGCCTTAGCATCCGGCTCCAGGGCTTGACGTGACTCCTCCTCCCTCACGCCCCAGTCTGGGAGTCTTTGTATATACATTGTTTACTTCTAATTTATTTTGTATTAAAACTGTACATTCTTGCCTCTTGCGTGTTCTGTGATGCAGAGCAAAGCGGAAGAGATAAAGAACTACCCGAAGGGGTTAACCCAGTTTATTGTCCATCATTATGTTATAACAAAAGGAAAATTTGGACAATACAGAATTGCAAAGGAATATATGAATAGTAAACAAGGGCACAACAGAAATAACTTAATTCTGAATGTCTTCCATGATATGAGGGTATTATCCATTTCAAAGCGCTGTGCCTGGCCTTCATTGACGGTAGGTTTTGTTCGCTGCCCAAAGCCTGCCATACAATCTGGTTCTCGGGGTCCCTCTCTCTGCACTACTGGCTCTTGACAAAGCCTTTGAGGTCTTCCAGAAAAGTAATGTACTCCTGGTGCTCCAGGGCTGTGCTGAGCTCCACCAGCTCGTCCGCGAAAGTGTTGTCTACGCCTCGGTCCGCCAGGAAGTCCATGAGGTGGTCGTACAGGGCCTACAAGGAGGATCCCTTACTCGGCTGCAATGCTTAGTGTTATTCCCCCATGCCTGCCCCAAGGCCAGGTCCGAGAGCCCCCACCGCACCCAGCACTCACCCAGTCCAGGGAGTCCGTGTTGAGCGTGTACTTGGTGTCATTCCATTCAGGCTCGCCCGGGGACTGAAAACTCACTTCTCTGATGGAGAAAATGTCGCTCTCCTCATCATCCTCATGTCCAACCTGAGAAGACACCCGTATTCACGGCTCTCCAGGGCAAGCCGGACTCGTAAGAAAAGAGGACTATACCTATTGAAAGTCACCAGATTCTAACTTGCTCTCTCCTCACCTCTTCCCTGCTTTGCTGGTCTGAAGTGTGTCTAATCAGAGGCACCAGAGAAGGCCCCAAGAGGTCCCCGTGTCCCCAGGGACTAGCACCCCACCCTTCATACCTCATCCTCTGGATAGTGGCAGTCCAACACGAGGGCCCTCTTGCCATCGCTCTTTGTAACTTCAACCACAAAATTGGGGGTGGATGTCAGTTCCGGCTGGTGACGTAAGAACGAGGGGTCAGTATATGCCACGGTTTGTAGGGGTTGGTTGTCTGGAGCAAAGGTCTGACAGCTACCACTGTTAGGATTTCATTTGTCCACTTTTAAAGTCTCACGCTACATGCACTGTCACGAAATTAAGAACCACCATCTTTAGGAGTGGTAAGGCCTGCCAGAATCTTGAGGCAAAGACTGGATGCAAACTTACCTCTTGTTCTTCAGCCTTCTGGCCCTGCGAGGCCTCCTCCTCCCCATCAAACGTGGGCGGGATGCTATTGTTAGTGTTGAAAGTGACGGTGATCCTAGAAAGACACAGAAAAGCAGCAGATACAGTGTAATGTTAATGGAATTAAAGGTCCTAAAGCGCTAAGGGCACTTGTTGAAACACAGTTTCCAGTCCAGCTGGCTGTACATCTTGATATCTGCGCAGAACTTTCAAAAAGCCCAGATGCCTACAGCCAACCCTGAGATTGACTGAGCAGGCCCCCAGTGTGTACTGATCCAACCAGCTTCAAGTCTGCCTACTCCAAGCCCAGCCAGCTGCCAGGAGTCAAACTAATCACCCCGAGGAAACAGTTTAGGTAAAGTTCTAGAACATACTTTTGAGCTCTGTGTGGTGGTGGTGTATGTGAGTGTGACAGCACTCTACCACTAGGGAAGAGAACCCGGATGCAACCTCGAAGTGAAACTCAGACCTAAAATGAACCAAATCAGAAAACGGAGCAAGTGTCAATCTCTCTGAACTCTCGGATGGGCAGTGGTTTCTAGAAGCACAAGTGTCCAAAGAGAAACCACCTCAGCAACAATCAACCCTTTTATGCTTCACAGAACACCATCAAAAAAGAGGAAAAGGTAGGGGCTCGGGGAAGAGATGTGATGGGATTGTCTGGCCTGAGATGCTCACCTGCTTTCCCATCAAGCCTGACCCACGGCAATGCTAGTGAGCCGGGCAGGACTGCTCTATAGGGTTTGTGAGTCTTGTTTACAGAAGCAAACCACCCTCCCCAGCCCTTACCCAGTGCACCAGGGCCCCTTCTGAATCAGATGCCAAAAGGAGCCAGCATCCCTGCCACTGAGCTGATGCCAGCACAGAGCCCCCCTGTGCGTTTCCAAGGCTATAAATCTTTAGGAAGCAGACAACCCCGATTCTAAAAACACCACATTAGAAAAAAGATCAGACGGTTAAATACTTATCCGTACCATGGGATTATATAAACTCTTATCAAATCAGTTCCGATTCATACTGACCATATATATAGGGTTTCAAAAGCTGCAGATCCTTATAGCAGAAAGCCTCTCTCCTTCAGAACAAAGAGTGGGTTCAAACTGCCGGCCTTGTGGTTAGCAAACCAATGCACAACCCAGTACACCAGGCCCCCCCAGCAGTGGGATTAAGGATGACTACACACTACAGAAAGCTATAGACAAGAATTTAGCAATCGGAGTGGGGAGGAGCATAACTAGGTCAAAAGCGCCCACCTAATTGCAACCATTCTATAGTGTAACCCACCCCAAGAGTTACATCACTTGCTTTTCACCTACTGTGAACCTTCAGAGAGCAGGGGCCTTGTTTTACTCCGCCACATACGAGGGGCGCCACGAATCCTGTGGAACGTGGAGTTAAAAGATAACGGGATATTCTCCTGCACTGTTGGAAGCCTCCTTGTTAGGGGTTATGTTTGTTCTCTCGGCAACGGAAGAACTTCTGAAAAGTGACTGAAAGATTGTCTGCCAGTCCAAGACTTCCAGTCACATGCTTTTGTGCAACTCCTTTCCTGTCTCCCTAGTAACCAGCCCCAGCATAGAAATATTCATCGAATGCCCGGGAACTGAGGAACTTGCCCAACTGCAGCATTCTCTCTCTAGGAAAGGATGCACCAAAGCACAAGGCTGAATTGGGTGTGGCCCAGGGCAGGTCCGCAGGTCACGGATTTGGTCTGTGAAGCTCCCAGCAGCCCCCACTCGCACGCACGCCAGTCCTTACTTTTCACCAGCAACGTTCCGCACCAATTTGGCTTCCGTTCCCTTCACTTCCAGCTCCCAACCTCCGGACATCTTGGGGAGAGACTTATGCTTCTGGATCTTCCTCTCTTCTTTAATTTCATCATTCAGGAATTCAACAAAAGCTTTGTCTCCTGGAATGAGCGCAGATGACCCGGAAAAGCCAATCAGTCTACAGCGTACAATTCCGGGTTAGAGCACTCAGTGGGGTAGCCCTGGGCTCTTTCTAGTCTCTTTATGAGTAACGGTTGCTCTGGGAATTTAGTCCAATTTCCTTCCGTGAGTCTCATGTGCTAAAAAAAAATATTACCTTACCACTACATTTCAATATACAGCTAAAGAACGCTCAATTATCCTCTTCCAATTTCCCGACGGGCATAAATAATCCTCTACTACCGACCACGGCCTTGGGCTTGCCTAAAGTTCTATTGTAAGGAGACTGAGAAAATCAGCATCCTTCGATCAATTCTCTCTCCGGGATGGGGAGAGGGAATGTGCTGGCACGTGGGTTGAACCACCCGCGGTGGGCTAGTCGAAGGGCAGCGTGTTTCGGATCTTCTGGGGTGGTTCCCGGCAGTAGACGGGTGGACCAAACTTCCCCTCTCCCTCCCCGAGCCCGGGGGTTCTCACCTTCCGTGTGCAGCGCGCCGCAGCCGCAGGAGCAGGGCCTGCGGGCCCGCAGGAGCTCGGGCCGCCGCGCGGAGCCCGCGCGCACGCAGAGCAGCCCGAAGGGCCGGGTGCACTGCCGGGGCGTCGGCTGCAGGAGCGGCCGGCGCGGCGGGCGGGGCGCGGCGGCGCGGAGGCCGGCCACAGCGGAGCCCAGGGCACGAGGCACGCCGCGCAGGAAGGGCAGCATCGCAGAGGCGGCAACGGCAGCAAGACACGTGCAAGTGCGAAGGACAACTGGGGCCCGGGCGCCCAGGAGCTAGCGCATGACCGGAAGTACCGCCCTCGAACGGCAAGCGCTTCCCGTGCCGCCGCCTTAAACGGCGCCCTCTGCTGGTGGCCTCCGGGCCTGACTCGGCCTCCGGTCCAAGCCGTTTCAACCGCATCAGTTCCCACTGGAGGATACGCAAGACTTCCACATTTCCATCAACTGTTCTCAAAGTAGGGCGCTCTGGTGGGCGCAGTGGGTTAAGCACCGTACTGCTAACTATTCTGTGAGGTGGGTCATTCAACTCGGCCAGCCTTTCCAGGGGGGAGGAGACAGACAAGGCTGCCCTGTACTACTCTGCCCCATAGGGGTGCAGAGCTAGTTTGGGCTCAGGAGTAATAGGCCTTAGTGGAACCCACCTTTCCTGATTCCAACTCGACACCCCCCTGCAGATCTGACTCCACAGCCGGTAGGCCGCCTTCCCAGAGGCAGATTACTTAGCAAACACAGTAAGCATAGACTTGCTTGTGCTTACTTACTAATCTGTAGTAGGTGATGAAACTGAGATTGTTAGCCAATCTTAGGTTAGCCAAGGGTAGTTCATGCTTACCTTCGCTGCTGGGTTGTCCCTGCCAGGGAAGGTAAAGGTGAAGAGGCTTGGATTTTATAGGAAGGGGCTGCAGGGAGGGGGTTGTGGCTGGGAGAGAGCTGGCAGGCAGAGCCAGAATCTTTGACGTGGTGGGGAAAAAGTGAAATTGTTCACTGCAGATTGGTAAAAGCCTGTGCATACTTCTGACTGGGAAGTCCGACAGTGGGCCTTCCTATTCCCCATCTCTCATCGGCTCCTCTGTGCATCCGCAACCCTGGGTTCCACTTGCCTTTCACCAGAAAATTGCCCCGGCTGCCTCCCGTCCCCCCACTTGTGAGTTCCTGATGAGCAGGAATTCTGTGAATCGCCATGCCCTCATCTCCTGCAGCCTCCAGCCTCATCCTGATGGAACATCAAGATTCAGACTGACACACCGGAGACATCAAGGACCAAAGAAGCATGTCTTCTCAAATGAGTGACAAAGATGAATACTTGATATAGTCTCTAGAGTACAGCTTTCTGTGACCAGGGAAAGGGGACTGAAAAATGAAGCCACACGCATCATGATTCATTTTCAATGTATTTTGACAGTCAGGTGCAAATTTGAGCAGCACGGAGAGAAGAGCTGTCACTATAATACTACGTGTGTCTCCACGAGACCGGTCTCCAAATGCAACATGAACTCAAACCAGGTTTTCTGGGGGCCCTTTTTTTCCTCTCTCAAGGTGTTATATTCTGATCAAATCAATGACAAGACTCCTCTTTCCCTACAGATGCTGCTCTATATGCTTATGGAATGGTATCTGGCCACAGTTCTAAGCAGTACGTGGACTGAGCAGATATGTCACAGTACATGGCAAGTTTTACATACAAAGGGCAAGCCTCGTTCTGGTCTGGTATCATGTGAAAGATCAGCAGAGATGGGACAGTTTTCCCCCAGGACCCAGGGTTCTACAGTTTTCCCTGGTAATGAACAAGGTATTCATTTGGATACCTCCTACTTCACGACTCAAAACTCAATGCCTTCAGGTCAATTCTGACTCAGTGACCCTATAGGGCAGGGTAGAACTGGCCCTGTGGTAACTCTGAATGGGAGTAGAAAGCCTCATCTTTCTCCCAAGGAGTGGCTAGTGGTTTTGAACTGCTGGCCTGGCGGTTAGCAACCCAGCATTGTAACCACTAAGCCACCAGGGCTCCTTCATGAAGGCTCGGAGAAAAATGCCTGAGGCATGCAATCTGCTTGGAGTGCATCTGTGTGCAGGGCAGCAAGGGTTGGAGAAGAGGTGTCACACCATCAGAGATGTTTCCAGTGGGGAAAAAGGGAAGCTGGACCCTGAAATGTTTAACTTTCTTCCGAAAGCTTAAGTCTAAGTCTAAAGTGCACTACCCCCTGCAGCTCAGTCTAAACCATTTATCTCTTTGTAGCAATACAGAGTCAGAATGGGTTTTCCATCTGACTTAATCCCTGAGTAGCTGTTACAAGTTAGTATCTTAAAACGCCCAATATAAAACTAAATACTGCATTCAAACTCTACCACAAGGTTACAGTAATCAACATGTTTCTCTACAGAAGCTCTCAAAGCTATTTAGAGAAGCTGTTTATACCCCTTTACCCCTGAGTCCCACACAAAGAAAGAGTTTATATTTCTGGAAACTGTTCAGGTACTTAAAAGCTAGATATAAACTGCTCTAAATTAAGTTTTACTTGAATCAGAGGAGACCTTTAGTTTGGGAGAGAATCTGCTAAAGAATAATATATCACTCCACGCCAATGTCTAAGTTTTTATCATAATGAAGGTTTTACCAGAAATGGGTTTTCTTTTACCAAGTCAAACCTCTATCAAACACATGGGGGGAAAATACAGCAAAAAAAAAAAAACAACCTTTCAGGAAGTGAACAATGCTAAGAGCAAGTTGATCTAAGGAAGAACCTGCTGGAAGTGTGTGTATGTGGGCGTAGTGTGCACAATGATACTGGACCATTGTGACCCAGTTTCGTTGGCAAATTTTCAGTCAATCATCTGCCCTTTCTTCCTACTGGCTTAGCTCAGACGCTCCATTGAAGCTGTGCAGTGTCACAGCAGCACACAAGCCTCCAGTGGCAGACAGAGGGTAGCTGCCCTGAAGGTCTGTTGGTCAGAAATCAGGGCTGGGTCTCCTGCACAGAGGGCAAGAATTCCCCCCTGGAGCCCCCTCAGCTGTCTACTAAGAACCCAGTAAGATAGGTATCGAAGGACTGTCGGGTTCTATTTGGCTTCAATCTATTTCCAACATAAATAAGTCCCAAGTGCTGCCTCCACCCCCCATCCCCCTCCCTCCCCACTGGTGAAAACCCTGACATGCACAACATGGCAGAGCTGACCAGGGACTGAGCACTCCGTCAGGCCGTGGTCTGGGACCCTAGAGCCACACCGGGGAGACCATCCACGCTCTCTGGAGAGAACCTTGGCATGGTTTGAACCCGTGCGGATTCCCCTGGCAGTTGTATGACCTAAAAGGGCACAGACATGTTCAGACCAATACACAGCATCACGAGCGCTTCTTTCAGGCCGGGACCAAATGTTCTCTGGAGAAAGATTCTTTGCTTTGGGGAACCTTTGGTGTCTTCTCCCTTTCTCAAAACCTCAGGGCAGGAAGAGGCAGTGCGGCTCTTCTGGTTCTAGCAAATGAAGCAGCAAAAGCCAGCCCGTCTCCTCAGGACACAGCTGAGGAATGTAAAGAAACAGCAAGGAGCCGGAAGCCATGATGTGGAAGGCCGAGGCAGGGCTCCTGGGTTCTCCCAGACCCGCCCGGCTCGCTGACGGGGGTCCTGCCATAAGAGAAATGGCCCAAGTGTAGGCCGGCCCGCGGGAGAGGCAAGTAACCAGTGGGGACCTGCTGGCTCCAGCGGGGACCACGAGCACCAGGGCGTCAGCTTCCGCTGCTCACGCTCGACACTTTCCACACACACACAAACGGACGTCAGCCCAGGAGGCAGACGTGTCAGACGGACGCCACAAACCCGTGACCGAGGCACCAGGGGCCAAGGCTCCCCAGGGCAGACGCGGCCTCACGGGTCCTTGTGTGGAGCGCAAGGGCCCTCATCCTGGCCAGTGAGGAGCCAGCCCGTGAAGTCAGACAAACGCACTTCCTTCTGGAAACTTCCGTAGAGGTCAGCCGCTGCTGCTGCTTTCCCCTTTAACATCTCACTGCCGATACAAGTCGAAACAGACCTCAGGGCAACGCCCCAGCTCTGGGACCTTAGCCCCCTGAAAACGCTCCCGCACAGTCTCAAGAACACACAGGATTCGGCTGTACTCGATTCCCATCACGTGAGAGAACAAAGCTGGCTCCCGATGTCACCCCTAACCTGGGTGACCTCGGCCCTGAAAGTCAGGATGATGGTGATCACGCCCCCATTGGGCAGGGGCGGAAACTGAGGCTCAAAAGTTCTGAGCCACTTCCTTCCCACACGGTTCAGTTGGAGTTTAAATCGTCGCCTCTGAGCTCCTGGGGGGCTGCCTACCTCGGGCCCAGCCCGCCGGGGGACGCCGTGACCGAGTGCCCAGACAGCTGCGCTTCGGGGCTCAGCTCCTGGCGGCTCTCAGCTTCCGCCGGAAGTACTCGGGGGCAGCCTCGTACAGCCACTCGGCATCCACGACGCACAGGTCGCGCATGTAGCACTTGTTGGTGTGCAGCAAGGCGGTGTACACCACGCAGGCCGGCTTGCAGTGGAAGAGGACCGACGAGGGGTGGATGGCCACGGGCTGGTGGGTGTCGGTGGTGGCGTAGGTGCCGTCGGGCTGCAGCTCGGCCGTGCTCATGAAGAGGCTGTGCGCCAGGCAACGGCGGACACTCTCCGTGTCTCCCCGGGACGAAGCCACCGGCAGGGACATCTGTTTCGCGAGAAAGCGAGGAATGGGCAAGAGCTCGTGGGAGCATCCTGCTTCCAGCACGCTGGACCATGCACAAACGGGCAACATGGTCACCTACAGCTTCTCAAACACAGGACCGTCAAAGAAGGGAGGGAGGGAGGGAGGGAGGGAGGGGGGAGAGAGACCCACATACAGAAGCATTGAGACCGAAGGTGAACAGTGCACAGACCCCTGGAGATACAGCATCCTTTCTGCATTACATATCACTGTTTACCATACTGCCGCTTAACAAATATTTCAGGACTATGTGTCTGCTGTTGTAGCCAGAAGAAAAATAACAAAGACATTCCCACTAAAAGAATTCTTAGGAAGTATTTTCATAACATTGGAAAATGCTCTGTGAAAGCATTTATTCAAGCAAATATAAACTGCCACGCTTGTGACTAGTGCTCTATTCCTCCTCCGCTTGCCACACTGATAGGCAATTGTGCTGATGGTTCCTTGACATGTAACTGCTAGTAGTAATTTCCATGTCCGTTTCAGTGTTTCTTAAGAATTTAAAATATAGAACACATAAGCACCTTTATTTTGAAAACTCATAGCCAGGAAAAGGAAAAGCAAATATAGGGAGCCGATATCAGGGTGTTCAAGAAGAAACAAAATGTTTTGCGAATGATGACGGCAGCAGCTGTACAACTATGCTTGATGGAGTGGAACCATGGGTTGTAGTAATATCGATAAGAGCTCCTAATAAAGCGTTTTTTAAAAGGCAATTATAAATTACATACAATTCTATATATTTAAAATGCACTTTTAAAACACAGCCACTGAAAAGTAGACCACAATGGTGGGCAGTGCACGGATAGATCATTTGACTTTGTGCCACATGTTCCCAATGTCCTATGATAATGACTCTTATCGTTTCTATCAATAGGCAAGTTTTAAGACCCTCCGGGAACAAAAGGACAGCTTAGTCCCTCCTCGCCTGGAGAACCACCAATACCTTTAAGCAGATGTCCCGAAGCTGCGCTCGGACTTCAGCGACCAGCATCATATTCTTGCTGTTAACAAAATTCTCTTTGCACCAATCCTGCACAGGACAGAAAGACTTGTCACAAGCCCCTCACTGGTCCAGAGACAAACCAGGTCACAGTTTAAACTCACGGCTGAATTTAGCAGGAAGCCAGGGGAATTGCAAGTGCCGAAATGAAGAGAGAAAAATTTCCTTCAAAACAATACACAAACAGTGATTTGGGTGAGAGGAGGAAGGAAGATAGCTTTAAACGCACAAACAAGAATCCCAGTGGGAAGCATTTAATAATTCAAACTAAAAATGCCTTCATGTAAAAAGCCACCATAAAAACAAAACCAAAAAACACTAAGGATCAATGACTGACTTTATTAAAAAGTCCAAGAATATCGTGCATTTTCCATCTTGACCCAAGGAATTGAACTTGCATCTAAGCAAAAGCCACTGGACAGGAAGTTAGGGAGAAGTGGAGGGTGGGAGAAACAAAACCCAAACCCAAACCCACCCATATGTCCCTAAGAACTTGGGCCACCGAAAGCTTAACTAACTTGTTCAAGTTAAGGCCAAGTTCAATCCAGAGCAGAATCAAAGGCCAGGATCTCTCCGGCTTCACACATTCAGAATGAATGGCACACGTGGAAATGACAACCTGGCGTCCTTTTGAGGACTTGGCCAACAAGAGAAGAGACACTTACAACGCAGGCCAGAGCAGAGCAGCTATCGCTGTGGCAGAGAAACGGGGCGACTATACCTTATTACCACCGAGGTTTTTGAAGGTCCGGTAGATATTCAGCAGGGTCATGTGGTCCCCCTCACTGGATATGAACTTCTTCCGGGCGGCCTGCACCTCATCCCGCCGGGCAGGAGGGTTGTGGAGAACGCTGTCCACGGACAGCAGGGACACGATGGTCAGGATCTCCTCGGTGCAGTGGAACTTGGGGGACAGGAGGATGGCCTGCAAATCACCATTCACCAGTGCGTGAGCCACGTGCTTCCCTCCATTCTGAGTGAACACAGCACTTCTGAGGATTGCGTTTCCACCTTCCCTTCTAAGGGGCTCACGGGCAGGTGTTTCCAAAGTTGTGATTATAGACAAGCTAATGGGCTTTAGCTTTCCCCCACAGGACTCTGATTCCCTCAAGGACAGACCTCCCTTGTCTCTGAATCACCCCCAGAACAGAAACCAGCATCCTATACAGAAAGTGGCTGAGGAGCCCGGGAGAGAGGGGAGGGGAGCATTAATCTAGAAGCACGGGGTCCTGGGTCTACACTGGGATGGCGAAACCTGGAATGTGCAGAAAGGGGGCTGAGGAGCTGTCTCATTTACTTTGGCAAATTTGGGTTCTAAGGGAAATGCGGCCATCTTTCTTCCAATGGGCGTCAGGGTGAGCTGGTCATCCTCCTGGTCCAGAGCGCCCAGCAGGCCCAGCTGGGCGACGGCAGCCTGGATGTGATCTACAGACACGAGACACAAAGAGAGGCCCAAAAAAGGGGGAAGATACTGCCACCAGTTCAGCATTTCTGGGCATTTCTGATCATTCCACAGAATCATCAATATCAGAGATCACAATCCCCAACACCCCCACCCTCCCACCACCTGACCCACTTTTCAAAGCTGTCAAAGTCCCTCCCCCTGGCGCCACTTCGCCTCCATTTTGAGATGAGGGGTCTGTAACTTGGTCAGTATGGGCACAAAGGGAACACGAGGGTTAAATACAGCCACTTGCTCCTTAGAGGCAAGACTGGTGAGAGTTCATCTCACGTATGTGGATGTTGCCAGGCCTTGCGAAGACCATCATGCTTGGCAGAGGGGCCGTGAGAAAGAGGCAGACCCTTGGCAAGAGGGATTGAGAGCGTGGCTGCTTTGATGGGGTTGAGCACAAGAACGATTGTGAGGATGGCGCACGGCCGGGTGGTGTGCCATGCCGTTGAATATGGGGTCCCTGTGCATCGGAACGAGCTCAATGGCACCTGACGACGACGAAGACAACACAACATGACCTTGCGTGCAAGAAGTCGGCGATGAGAAGGCACTCAAGTGCAGCACAGCGCACGGGGGTGGGGGTGCTGTGGGTGTGTTCCTGCAGAGGTTCTCTGCAACGCCCACCAGCGGTTGCATACGGGAGGGAGACCAAGCTCCCTCAAGGGTGGGTGAGGTGGGACCCTGAAGGCCTACTCATTCTGTAAGATTTCACATATATATACATACACACACACACACACACACACACATATATATAAAACCACTTGCAGTTCTTAAAATTAAGAGAGAAGAAAGGACACTGGTGCAGCGACGAGGTGGTCGGCGCCGACACCATCATCCTGTCACCGACTCTCCCCTCCTCGGAGAGATGACCCCTGAGGGGCAATGGAGCAGGACTGAGCCCACAGTTAGACAGAAGCAGAGACAAAGACTGGGTCACCTCTCTTCCCTGTCCCCAAGATAGTGCCACAATGGCTTCTGGCATTCATTTGGGGCGGGGGGGGGGGGGGGGGGGCCAGGGTATTTGGAAAAGAAAAAAAAACCAAGCTGGACTCAAATCACCTTGGGGTGATTACCAAAACCCCAGTCTTTCCGGGCCTTTTGCTGATAGAAGGGGACTATCCCAAGGGCCCACACACTTCACTTCCTTCACCAGTTCTGTGGCTAAGGAGCGGGGCTGGGAGCCCCTGTAGGGCACTGCTGTGTTGCCTGTGGACTGCGCCCAAGTCAGACCCCGGCAGATCCTGAGTTTGAGACATGCCTGAGTGAATGCTGCCAGCCACCCAATGACACGCCTTGTTTTCCCCGGGAGGGTGGTCCATCCGTGTGGCTCAGCTACCCAGACACCACCACTCCACGGAGGAGAAGGTTACCTGGAGATGGTTTGGACATGAAGTCAAAATTGAGCACGTTGGGGACTTTCATGGCCAGGAGCTGTAGCATCACACTTGCCAGGTTGCACCTAGAGAGAAAGAGAGAGAGAGAGAGAGAGAGAGAGAGAGAGACATGGCACCGCCTGGCCCTGGGTCACCAGTCCGGGAACTGGGAGGAAAGGTGGCGCAGCAGGGCAGCCAGAGCACCCTGCTCACCTCTGGATCTCTGGCACCGTCATCTTCTCAAACCTCTCAAACTCCTCCTCCGTGTAGAGCCGGTAACAGATGCCACTGTCCTCTCGGCCGGCCCTTCCCGTGCGCTGCCAGGCCTGTGTCTTTGACACCCGCTGCACAGCCAGCACCTCGAGACCACTGTCTAGAAGGAGAAGGCCCACATGGGTGCCTCACTGTCCACGTCCACCACGGGGGTTCTGTAGTCCTGACCAGCAGACGGGCTCCCGACGTGGGGGTCCAGGGCCTTGCCAGGAGAGGTCAGAAAGCACAGCTCTGCACGTTGGGCCTGTGAGGGAGCCTCCTCCAAGTCCCTAGGAGGATCTAGGCCAACAGCGCTGATGTTGGTCTTGGCTTACATCTTGGGGCAAGCAGCCACCCCAGTTTGCCCAGGATGTGGGACTTTGCTACCACACCTGGAACCCACCCACTGCCACTGAGTCCATTCTAATACTGAGTGGCCCTGTTTAGGAAATCTTTACTAGAGTAGACAGCCTCAACGTTCTCCTGAGGAGAGGCTGACGGTTTTGAACTCCCACTGCAGCCCGACACTTATCCAACAGAGCATGGCAAACGAGGGGTGGCTGCTCTCCTGAGCAATCGAGGACTCAGAAACGGGCGCTCCAGGCCCTCCTTCCAGGTCTATGGCTGTCCATGAGAGTGTGGGAGATGCCATCTCTGGAGAGAGGAGTATTCTGGGCCAGGCTCTGGAGAAGCCAGTTGTTCATATATGTGAGCTGACGGCTATGCACGTGAGCGAGCCCTCCAACACTCGGCAACATCAAATACCAAATCCACTGCCATTGAGTCAATTCTGACTCATAGTGACCTACGTAGGGTTTTGCTGTGGAGCTGCTGGTGAGTTTGAACCACTGAACTTGTGGTTAGTAGCCCAACACCCAACCTACAGCAGCACCTGATCATCTCGGCAGTGCATGTTGATTGAACGGGTGGGGGGGGGGGGCAGTGACCATCCCTGCCGCCTCCACTGCTCTGTAGAACACACTGAGGAGAAGATCGGCACGGAGAAGCTGACTCAAGGCTCACTACTCATCTCCAGGAACAGCTAGTGCTTGCCTCTCCCCGCTCCAGCCTGGGGCATGTGTTTCCTGCCTGGGAATCCACATCGGGTTCTATGCCAGATTCATTTCTAACGAGAGCCATGGCCCTCTCTCACCCTGGTTTCTGCTCCCCGGCTTGTTTGGAAGCTTAGGCTCTTGCCCCTGCCTGGCCTTCTGGGTCTTACACACCTGTCTCCCTCACGGGGCCTGCCACCCAGCTCACTAGGGATTAGCTACAGCCACGAAAGGTCCACTCGAGGGGGACTGTGGGGCTGGAGGGAAGCCAGTTCTCACCAGGGTTATACTTCTTTGCTTTAACCATGCCCGGGTCAACCACGTATTTTATTCCTGCAATGGTGATGGAGGTCTCAGCGATGTTGGTTGAAATGATCACTTTGCGATAGCCCTAAAAGAAACCAAAAGGCCACACGACACACGTGTGATCCAGAAGTTCTCAATCCTACTCCTCTCACCATTAACTTCCAGAACAATTCATGCATGACAAAAAAAGAAAAAAGAAAGACAACTGGTTCCGAGACTCGAGAGCGTGTCTCTGGCCATCGGTGACTGCGCGGGGGCGGCAGGCAGGGCTGCTGGCATGAGGCCGTGAGAGGCAGAGACACGAGCATGACATTCGGAAGATGGGGGGGGGGGTGCCACCACGCTGGCCCTGCCAGTTACTGACTGTGGCCCTTCACCTCCTGGGACCAACAGCCTAATTTGCAGTTCTCGAGACAGGGAGGGATGGTCTGGGTGACAAGTTAGCACAAAGCTCACCATCACGGGGCGCAATGAATAGGCAGTGTTTGTGTTGGACCTCGGGGTGGGGGTGGGGGTCAGTCACCGTTTTAGTCTCCTCCCTGGCCTCCACCTCGAACTGTCCCCGTTTTGATCTCAAGGAGACGATCCGTCTCTAGCTATGCGTTCTGGGTGCCTGCTTAGCTATCACCTTGTTTCTCTGGCACCTCAACACCCCACCCTGCCTGCCTCATCCGGAGCTGGGTGGCATGGCCTTTCTGTCCAGGGGCCAGGGCCAGCGGCCTCACCTTGGGGGCACCCTGGAAGACACGGAGCTGCTGTGTGTAGGGCAAGGAGGCGTAGAGAGGAAGGACCAGCATGGCGGGGCAGCCGTCCGGGAGGTGCTTGGCGATGTCTCGGCAGGTCTTGCTCATGGCCTCGATCTCCTCCTGGCCAGTGAGAAACACCAGGATGTCCTGCAAAGCTGGGGCCTCCTGTACAGAGGGGAAGAACAGGCTCACTCACGCAGCCAATGGGGTCACACCAGCCAGAGCAGCACCCAGGCTGGGAGCGCAGCCTGTTTCCATCAGAGCAGCAGTCCACCTGCAGATGATATGACAACACTCAGGGCCACATAAGGGTGGGCTGTGGGTCACGCACAGACCTAACACCAGCCAGTCACCAGGCTTCAAAGGCGCCAACCAGGTGGAGGGTTGAGGAGGGCGACGCGTGGGGCGGTGTGTGCTAAAGCCTCTTCTGGCCGGGAAGAAATCACTGTAGCACGCTTAGTCCTGATTCAAGGGCATCGTGGTGGCTCACTGGTTAAGGGTGCAGCTGCTCACTGAAAGGCTGGCGGTTGGAATCTACTGAGCAGCTCTGCGGGAGAAAATCCTGGTGATCTGTTTCCAGAAAGACCACAGCCAAGGAAACCTTCTGGGGCCATTCCAGTCTGTCACGGGGTTGCCAAGCGTAGAAGTGGGCTGACAACAACGCTGTCCAGGCATCAGGAAACAGCTATATAAGCAGGTTAGTGAGAAATACAGGAAGTCCCCGAGGTACAACACAGCGGAGTTACAAAGAACCGCACTTACAACCACCTGATATTTTCTTTTTCGGGGGAGGAGGAGGGAGCGGCTAAATCTTATTGCTAATAAGGAGCCCTGATGGCACAGTTGGGTAGGTACTGGGCTACTAACCACAAAGTCAGTGGGTCGAACCCACCAGCTACTCTGTGGGAGGAACATGAGTCTGTGCTCCTGTGAAGTCTCATAGTCTCAGAAATCACATCTAGGCCGGCGAGGAGTCGGGATTAATGTGATGGTGGTGGGTTGGGTTTGTTGTCGTTAATAGGTACTGCAGCCTGTGATTGGCTGATGCTGTCATTCTCAGATATTTGCGTGCAGATGTTCAATTTTGATTTACTGTTCAAAGCATTGCTGGATTTATGCGACACGGACAGACAATAAGTGACAAGAGTACTGAACAAATGGAGGGTCCTTGACTTACACCAGAAGCAATGTAGGGCAACAGCGCGGGGAAAGACCCCGTCCCACGTCAGGGACTACATGCGGGGAGTGGGAAGTGGTGCTCACTCTCCAGACAGGGACGCTGCCATCACAAGTCATGCAGAATTAACCCCTTGACTTTCTAAGCTCTCAACCGCACATGTTTCACTTGGCTTCAAATACAAATGAACTTTTGAAAATGTGCCTCTAGATTTTCTCAGAATGTTAACAGGAAGGAAAAATGGTCAATTTTACACGACTGGAACAAAGCTGAGGTGGTCTCATGACTCGTCTGAGTGGTTCATAAAGGAAGAGCTTTTGAAAGTATTTTCTAACATGGAGTTTCTAAACCCATCAACCTTTTTATAGCACCTTCATCCAGCACAAGGGAGCCCTGCTGGTGCAGAAGTTACACGTTGGGCTGCTATTTGCATGGTTAGCAGTTCAAAACCACCAGCAGCTCCATAGGAGAAAGACTGGGCTTTCTACTCCCGTAAGCAGTTAGTCTCGGAAGCCCCCGGGGGTCGCTCTGAGTCAGTGTCAACTCGATGGCAGTGCGTTTTAATCCATCAGAGCCAGCGTTTCTCTGCCCCAGCACTTCAGCAGTCAGTACTGCCATGTGCTGACCGACTCAGGGCAACAACTAGGGTCATGAATGTGAACTGTCAGGTAGCGAGAGTGGTTAGGAGAAGGAAGGAGCTTCATCAGATGCAGTTCAGCATGCGCTTGCCCCGGCTGGCCCTTACTGAAACCACACCAGTGCCAGGCACCAGGGGCTGGGTGCCATGGGAAGAGGCACTGCCAGCTGCTGCTTGCTAGGGTCTGTGATGAAAACAATGTGCAAGCCACTGAGGAAGGTGCGGGTCAGCTCCAGTATACACACTTGATTGCTTTTCTTTGAGAAGAAAAAAGGGCAAATACCTGGACGTGACAAAGCACCTCCTGACTCAGCTTACCCACGCGACACCCAGAGCTATTTGATCCAGATGGGCTCGTTCCCACGGCTGAATGCTGTCATTGGGGACTTCTGGACAACCTGCAACCTGCCCTCCCTACCTGGTGGATCTGGAAGACCGTGACCAGCGCTGCGTGCAGGTAGTCGTTCTGCGGCTGCTTGGTGTAGAACACCTGGATTGGGTGCTGCCGCCCCTCCAGGTAGAGGACCGGGGCCCTGTGGAAGTACTGGGAGAAGAGGTCCACATCCATGGTGGCTGACATCACAATCACCTAGAGGGGAGCAAACGGGACAGCCTTTCTGCACCCCTCCAGACACCCAAGGCAGGTGACTGGGGCTCAGGTCGGCTTCCATCCTGGGTAACCTTCCCCCTGGGTGGGAAGCAGAATGGACCACGGGAAGAGAAACTGAAGAAGAAATCCAGGACTTTACTCAGGCTCTGTAAATGGAGCAAGCCCACAGCCCAAGGGCCAATGGCTTGAATTGGACAGCAGTACCAAGGGAGAAGCAGGCGGCAATCGGTGTCCTTGGAAACGCTGGGGACTGGGTCCCTTCTGGGCTGCTCTACAGGGCTGCACTTACCTTGAGCGGCAGCTTCCCCAGCTCCTTGCGCCGCCGCTGGGCGGCTTTCACCACGCCAAAGAGCACGTCCGTGTGCACCGTGCGCTCGTGGGCTTCGTCCAGGATGACACAGCTGTACCTCCGGAGCAGGGGGTCTGAGATGGCCTCCCGCAGCAGCATGCCATCAGTCAGGAACTTTATCCTGGTGTCTTCCGAAGTGGTGTCGTCAAAGCGCACGGTGTAGCCAACCTGGGGGCGGAAAACCATCCATTCCGTCACCACACACCTGCTGCCGACCCCCGGGGGCGCTAGGCGCCTGCACCCTGCGAGTGAGCTGGACCAACACCCACTGGGCTCGCCGCATGACTACAGCCGCGGTAAATCCAATGAGTTACAGCTAACCTCCGGAAAGACGCTCAGTCAGGGCCCACACAACACTCCGAACCCCCCACCCAACAGCATCGTACCCGCCTGTTGGGGCCACAAAGCAAGTCCTGAGACATTTTAAAAGATGTTCAGAAAAATCGAAGAGGGGGGGTGGGTGGGTAGGGGTGCAGAAAAGTCGAAGAATATTCCTGATCGTGGGGAAGAAAATCAGGTACCAGTTTCCCAAGTTCGGTTCTCTTTTCGTCTGAGACTCTGGTAGCGAGAGAGATGGCAGCCACCCGGCGCGGCTGGGTCACAGCAATGACGCCCTGGCGGCCGATCCCGCCTTCATAGAGGTACTGAGGAGTCTGGGTCGTTTTCCCGGAGCCAGTTTCCCCTGGGAAAGAGAATGAAACACACACAACTCTCATTTCAATGCACGCAGGAATACACTTAGCCAAAGTCAGAAAAAGGAAATACTGAGTAGGGAGGCTCTTGTTGAGGACTGCAGTTCAAAACGAGCAGCCGCTCCGTGGGAGAAAGAGGAGGCTGTCCACTCCCATCAAAAAGTTAGTCTCGGAATCCCACAGGGACCGTTCGACTCTGTCCGATGGAGGCGCTCTGAGGCAGACTGGACTGGACGCAGCAGGCCAAGCGGTTGAGTTAGAAAGCACCGAGAACTGATGGTACTAAGCTGAGAAGTCCAACTACCACGATGGCACTGGCAGGGCACCAGGGGCGGGGAATGGAACGCATAGCGATGGTATGCGATCACGCCACCGCTCGCACATCTATGCCGAGAAATTTGCAAGAGAGCTCCCTGGCCAACAGGCTGCAAGTTCCTCTGACTTCACCCATCCTGAAACGCTGGGGATCGAGAGTTCTGGCAATGGGGCCCAGCCTCACAACAATGCCTCTGTCTTTACACCTGAAACCACCACTGGGATTGTTTCTCGATGCCAGGGAACCGCTCAAGCTGGCTCCCCATTCTCGCGTCACCTAACTCCCTCCTTCTCACCAGGTGGGGCTCCCGGGACAACCTCCCCTCCTACTTGCCTCTTCCAAGATTCACTGTTCTAAGCTCCCACAGCTCGGGTCGGCCATATCTATAGCTGCCCTCACACGCGGAAAGTGTTTACACACGTCGGCCACTCCCACTCGACTAGGGACGCTTCCTGGACAAGGATGCCCCACCCGTCTGCAAGACCCTCCTCCGGGCACCGTCGGTGAGGTTTGTTGCAGAAAAGAATGGGTAGAACAGAGCAAGAAAAGCTCTTTTCGCAGAGGCAGCAACAGCGAACGAGGCCGGGTTCGCCCGCGCGGCCACTCACCGATGAGGATGGCGCTGTCCAGGTTCCGGAGCTGAGCCAACAACTGGCCCCGTGCCTGGAAAATGGGCAGACTCCGGCGCTGAAGCTCCACCGCCTCGCGGTAGGGACTGGCAGAGGAGTGGGGCAGGGGTGGCTGCTGCTGCCTGCGGCCTCCGCCGCTGCTGCCACCCGCAGTCAGCAGCATCATCACTCTCCTCCCGGGAGGGCAGGACCCCGAGCGGCTCGGAAGCCCGCAGCCCGGCCGGAATCGCTTGGCCGCCGGGAAGCCAGTCTGCTCGGGCATGTCGGGGCGCGGGAGCAGCGCTGCAGCACCGGGGCAAGGACCCCCGCAGCAACTGCCGCTGGTGGGCGCGAACCGATGGCACTAGCCGCCCCTTCTCCGCCACGTGCAGGCCGCTCCCGGCGACCACCGATGACCTCACAGCCACAGCCTTTAGGAACAGGACTACAACTCCCAGCATGCACCGGGCCCCCCCAAGTCTTTAGGGACGGGACTGCGACTCCCAGCATGCACCGGGGCCTGAGAAGGCTTCCACGTGCTTGGAATCAGCGAATGGGTGTGCGGCACGAACAATAAAGGGCTGGAGCGGCAATGGAAGGCAGGTTGTATGGTTCCGCGGAAGCTTTTTGCTTGAAGGGGTTCTTCCCGTTGGTCTAAAGTTTAGATTCTAAACTTTTTGTTAGTCTCGAATCATAGTCACTCTTTAATAAAAGCATTTAATTCTGTGAAATCAGTGAGTAAACATTTTGTATCATTTATTCTTGAAACAACCTTCTAACTTATGTGGACTGCCCCTAATTTACCGATGAAGATAATGAGCCCCCCAGAGATTAGTCATTTCGCTCTCACTGCCATCGAGTCGACTCTGGTTCATAGTAACCGTACCGGACAGGACACAGCCGCCCGTGAGTTTCCTAGAGCTGACCGACTGGTGCTTCGAACTACTGATGTTGCAGATCACAGCTTGTGGGGGTAGGTCAGATGCTTACAGACATCCTCCCTTGAAGGCAATCGCTGCCAGACTGCTGTCTCTCCAGAGAATATAAAAGCCTTGGTTAGCATTAAAGATTCTCTCTCCACGTGGACCACCAAGCGGGGCTGAGGTGAGCATGCTACCATGAATTGTGTCTGACTCCATTTATTTCAATATTTCTCTTCTATCTCTCATGCTCTCTATAACTACTATAATTTTTACTTATTATCACTGTACAATTGCGCCTACTGGACCTGTAATGATGTGCTAGGGGCTGGCTTCCCCTTGCAACAGCTCAACACGTAACCATTACCCCATCCTGGCTCTTCAAAGTCATTTAACGGTTACAAAACTCAGCGCTGGAAAGGATGCTGGTGATGTCTGGTAGAAAAGAGTAAAGTATGTACTCGTGTATAAGCAGAGGGTTTTTTTAAGCACATTTTTAATGCAGTTTTTGTGGTAAAATTAGATGCCTCCGCTGATACTCGGATCGGCTTGTCCTGGAGTATATACGTAAGTCTTTGATACTTTGAGAATCATGCATTTTCCTCAGAAAACGACTACTGAACCAATGGACGTGATCGACCCCTGTAGTCCAAGCTGGGAATGGGGAGTTCGATGGAATTAGCCATCTTTTACCCCTTCCTCCACCTAGGAGCCCGGCCTAGCGCTGCTGTGAGTGGATGGCATCGAGCTCGCTTTGGTTTGCACACTACTGCTACAGGATCGGGACCTCTCTAGCTTACTTACACCCATCAGTGACAAGACCCAGCACTGGAGGGAGGGGTGTCAAGTCCAATTATTACCCCTTCTCCTTTGAGTTCACTGCAAAAAGCCTCACAGCCGGCTGTTTCCTCTGCGTGCAGGAAGTGTTTTCCCCAGGGGGTGCACTGTGCACTCCACTCAGTGAAGGGCTTTTATTTCCCTGGAATTCACGCTCTATGTGACCCTATTAAGAAACCCTCCGCCTTCCTGGTGATGTGAGCACAGTGACGTGGTGGTACAGGCACAGGGAAGCACACCAGTTAGCCTGCTAACTGCAAGGTAGCAGTTCGAGACCACCAGCTGATCTGAGGGAGCAATACTGAGGGCTTTCTATTCCCATAGTTAGTCTTGGAAACTCACAGGGGTGGTTCCACTCTCACGACTGGATGTCAAGTTCGTTCCTTTCATCCATTTACTTTCCTGCAGGTCAGAGGTCATCCTTCCTGTGGCCAATGAGTTACTGAAAATGTCCAGGTTGAACTAGTAGCTGGTGTGTTTTTTGAGAATTCACAGAATTGTGTGCCTCCTTCCCAATTACTGTGTAGAAAGGCAGTTAAAACTTAAAGGGAAAATGACGCTCCAAATATGGCCCACAGCAACCCAGCACAGGAGTCACGTGAACTGAATGATTAGAAAGGCAATCAGAATGGCCCTAGAGCAGCGGTTCTCAACCTGTGGGTTGTGACCCCTTTGGGGGTCAAACGACCCTTTCATAGGGGTTGCCCGACTCGTAACAGTAGCAAAACGAGTTATGAAGTAGCAATGAAAATAATTTTATGGTTTGGGGGTCAGCACCACATGAACTGTTTCAACTTCCTCGCGGCATGAGGAAGGTTGAAAACCACTGATTTAGAGCCCGTGCCACTTCTGGAAAAAGCTAGCAATCAATCAGCTATAGGCAGTATCTGCCATACAGGGTCGTGGGCCTTACCTGCATTGCCAGATCTTAAAACTCTACCCCTAAGCCCCAAGTGGAGATGTTTATGTGAAATGTGTCGACTTAAAAATACTGCCTCAAAACAACTTGAAGTGATGCAGGCAAAGTGAGGCACATCTGTTGATAACTCATCTGTAGGTAACTCATCTGTAATCTCTGGCCTGGTGGCCCGGCCGGCTTGCGGCCTTAAGCTAAGTGGTCCACAAAGTTGAGAATAAAACCCTTTAGAGGCATCGACAGTGTTGCTCACATTTCTCCCCGTTAGTTGTCTGAAGCCCGGGTCTTCTCCAAATGAAAAGGCTCCTTCAGGTGAGTGGCTTTCATGCACAAACTCAACAGTGGCATCCTACGCAAATACTAACTATTCAAATAATATCCAGGCTCTTCCTCCATAGAGTGGGCAGACTCATTTCACTCTTGCCAGCGATGAGTCTGACCATGACTCGCAGCTGGTAGTCCCTCTTGTGGGCTGGCTCATTTAACCACCAAACCATTGCCCTTGATCATGTTGTCTTGTTCCTTCCCACGTCCAGAGGATAATTACAATGCTCAGCAACAAGGCACAAGCTGACATGCACTCACATTAATCCCTGTATCGTTAAAAATACCAGATAGTAGTCTTCTCATCCATAAACAAAGAATTTATTCAGCACCTCTGTGCCAAGCACTGTGCTAGGCACTGTGGTGGATACAAAGAGTTAAGACATGGTCCCTGCCCTTAAGGAGCTTACAATCTCATGAGACAAGACTAAGATACAGGTACCAGTTAGGAACAGTACAATATGCAATTTGAAATAAGAGTATGTCATCCAGACTTGAAGCTTGATGGGGAGTCAGAGACAGTCAACGGGGTTGTAAAGGTCATGGTTTCTTGAGGAATCAGGAACTGGGCCGGGCCTTGAAGGACTGATTGAAATAGGGTTCCCTCAGGTGCAAGTGGGAGGCAGATTCAGAGGAAGACAAGAGTATGCATTGGATATAAATGCATGAGAACCAAGCTGTCGCTGTGGATAAGTGCCCTGATCAGATGAGGTTCAACGGCTGCACTGCAAACTGAGGAGAGAGGCAAGGAGTTTGGGGGCATCCTGCAAACCTGAGGACAGCAGAGGACGGTGGCAAACAACACAGATGGCACTCACCAGATACGAGGGGGACTTCAAAAAACTCACGACAAACGGAATCAAAAGGTAATGGAATTTCCCTACTAACTGAAGCACCTTCCCATAGCCACAACACATAATGCTGGCAGGGGCGATGACAATTCTGGGAAGCTCCTTGGCCAACATGGCAACAGCTTCAGTACTTCTCAACTCTTAGAAGTCCCTAGAGGTCTGCATAGGTGTCTAGAGTGAGGGTCTCATTATCAAGATCCAGGACTTGTGGGAGCTCTCTGCTCAGAGACAACACAGGAGGCATGAAACATGTTAGGGCGTGTGGAAAAAGAACAAGTGGAAGAGTACAAATCCATAGAACAACACACCCGCCCCATACACACACAATGTACATAAAATGTGCCTCCTGAGGAGATGCTGCTTGCATGTCCATTTAAAACGTTACTTTAAATGCACATGTGCTGTGTTTCTAGAACAAAGACTGATGCCTTGGTCAGGTGTGCTTCTCGGTGTTACTGGAAGAATCCACCACTCCCCTAAATCCCATGTCTGTCAGGCTAAGGTGGTCAGGGAGTCAATCTCCTCTGTCACTTGACTGGCATTCCACAAGGGCAGTATGTTCTGGACGGAGTAAGACTGAGCGGTGAGCTGGGGAAGAAGTGAGGACCTTTCTTCATGTCCAGGTAAGCATAGGTAGCTTGTCAAGTAACACAGGGCGAGGGACGATGGGAGTGGGATTGGCTCAAGTTCCATTGAAACGACCACCACCCAGGACATGGTGTGGTCACATGGCATGACCTGCAGCCACCAGGAATTTTCATCCTATGAAATCAGTCAAATCAAACGCCCATAACTGTCTAACTCGGGGCTACCCATTCACCTGGTTTCCTGTATTATCCAATCATTCACATGTCTAGATAGATATTCTTTAAATGAAGAAGATAGGAATAAAACTTTTTTTACACAAAAATACAATAAAACGAATGAAACCTATTTTTAACACTAAGATAAAACTTATACTGATAAAGCTTTCTTAAATAAACATGCTGTAACCTTAAAACCCCATAAGGACTACACAGCTAAGCTTGGCATTTACAGTCTTACAAGACTTTTGAACCACTCAGGAAAACAGCACTCCAGGACCCTGCCATGTCAAGTTCTTTAAAACTGCAACAATCATATTTGAAGTGAGGTTACTAGCAACACGTCACAAAGCAACACATGAATCTCATTGCTGATGCACAGTCCATTGAAATCTCACTTCAAAAGCAGTCTGGGGATTCCTACTTCGGATGTTCACAATGCCCCATGCACCTCTCTGAAGAAAACCTTGCTATGGAAAGCTACCCCACCACCAGGTGAGAAACGCCACCACTGACAACCAAGTTTGGGGAGACGGCCCTGGGCCTACATGCTGCTTATAAAAACGATGAGAAAGAATCTCTTTTGTGAGAGGATCCACCCACACTCTTCGGGGTTCTCTTTGCAGCTAACTGTGAAAACCTGCAGAGTCCCAGGGAAGTTTCTATGAGGGGCAGATACTTCGTGAGCCACAGCATTAACCACATGCTATGGGCTTTGCTTCATTTCTCCTTGATCGGGAAGATGAACCAGAGGCTTGCCTCTGAAAAGCTCTCCAAACATGAAGCCAATCACCAATGTGAACCAGTCAAAGCCCCTGTCTTAACTGGGGCCTGTTCGGCTGGCTCCAAAGTCTGACATGAACTAGTTTGCCAACTTGGAAGATTTTTCTTACTCCCCCCATTCCCCCACAAAGAGAGATACTTCCTAATAAATAACTATAAGCAAAATTCATGAGGCTCCCCCTCAGCCTTTTGTCTATAATGGAATTCCCACTATTGCAAGAACGATACTCTCCTCCCCAGCCCCCTCCTATCTACTACACACCATCTCACACCTCCACGTTCTGCACAACCCAGGCTGTGAACGATACTCTTCCCCCCAGACCCCCTCCTATCTACTACACACCATCTCACACCTCCACGTTCTGCACAACCCAGGCTGTGAACTATCTGGACAAGAGGAAAACGCACCCCCTGCCTCCTGTCACTAGCATTCTAAATGAGGGAGATGCATACCCGACCGCAGTAATGACCGTTCTGAGTGGCTGACGGCAAGCGAGCCACTGATCTCCATCTTCTTGGAATGAAATCCAGTGGAAAGCGTGAAGGTGCAGGCAGAGCAGGCGCGGAGCCCGCTCTGAGCTCGGGCCCAAGCAGGGAGCTAGGATACGGTGTCATGATGTAAAAGATCACACACAAAGGCTTTAGTACAGTGAGCGAGAGATGGAATTCAGTTTTATTTTGTCCTCCCTGACACTTCCATGTACACCATGGCCTTGTCTAGCAGAGAGGAGGAGGAGGAGACAGCCCTGCCTTAGGTCATCAAACTCAAGTATTCATGTACTTGTTAGGTAGAGGTGGCCGGCTGCTTGTCTCTCCAGTTTTTCCTTTTCTTTTCTTTTTTTGGCTCCGAGATTACACATTCCGTGCCAGTGCAGTGAGGAAGCACAGGGCAACTGCTGAAGGTCTTCAGGATCCATCAGAGTACCAGCTCATAAAGTGCTTCTGGAATTAACATCTGTAAAGCTGGCAAGTGGCCCCACTCTTGCAACACAAAGGGTAAAAGAATCCCAAAGGGCATGTCATGCCAGTCTTTCCCAGCGGGGTCTCTTCTCATTGGCACTGCAGCTCTAGCCCCCGAGGCGCTGGCCCTCGCCCCAGGCGAAGCCTCCAGGCCGGTCTTCAGGTAGAGGATTGTAATTTGGATCTTCGTCCGGTGTATCAAAAATAGCCTTCCTGAAAGATGGGCGACAGACACGATTTAGTCTCGGGGTCATCTCGGTCAGCTCCTAAATTCAGCAAGGTTCATGCAGATTAAACAAGGGTTCCAGCATCGGACAAACATGACCTCTCGTGTCCCACTTCACCAACGCACCAACGTTGACCTCTCGGACTGGGAGAGCCATGACCATCAGTGGTGGAGACAACAGGATCAGGGAATACATCAAAGCAAAGCATCCTAAATCCCCAGGGACAGTCATTGTTGGCCTGTTCACTTTGCTTCCAGAACTTTTAGCAAGACCGCACTACTTGTTCTGTAACCGGATTTTCACTTAATCTAGCATGAACACCTTTCTGGAACCAGTAGCTTTTTTCAATCCGAAAAAGCAACAGGGTACAGACTACAGCATATAAAAAGGAGTTGTAAACAATCCAAACAACTACTAAAAATTTTACAAAGTAATTCAAAACCCCACCAGAAGAGTAAAATGCAAGTAGCTTCCTCTTTTGTATTCATAATACTGTAGATACTTGAGTATAAGCCGACCCGATTACCTGCCAAGGCACCTGATTTCACCACAAACACTGCATAAAAAATGTGCTGAAATGTGAATTATATGCCAATAAAACAATTTTAAGAAAAGGGAAAAAAAGTGCTAAAAAACTCGGCTTATACTCAAGTATGTACGGTAAGAATAGTTACTATTATAAACCCCAAATACATCAATAAAAAACAGGCAATTTAGAAGAGAATTCAAATGGTCACTAAACATACAAATGTCTGTTTTCACGGTCAAAGTGGTGTGTATTACACCTTCTAACCCCACCCCTCTTCACGTGTGTGGGCATCTGATCTTAATGCGGCAGCGCTCCCTCACTCCCCCTCCCTGTATGAAGCTGTTCCCGTGTCTTTAAGGGAAATGCGTGGGGAGTCAGAAGAGCTGCATTTGCTCCTCTTTGCCCTTACTTTGCAGTGTCCTTCAGTGGTCTGACTAGTGCAGTGTCCTTTAGTGGTCTGACTAGTGCAGTGTCCTTTAGTGGTCAGACTAGTGCAGTGTCCTTTAGTGGTCTGATTAGTGCAGTGTCCTTTAGTGGGTCTGACTAGTGCAGTGTCCTTTAGTGGTCAGACTAGTGCAGTGTCCTTTAGTGGGTCAGACTAGTGCAGTGTCCTTTAGTGGTCTGACTAGTGCAGTGTCCTTTAGTGGTCAGACTAGTCCAGTGTCCTTTAGTGGTCAGACTAGTGCAGTGTCCTTTAGTGGTCTGACTAGTGCAGTGTCCTTTAGTGGGTCAGACTAGTGCAGTGTCCTTTAGTGGGTCTGACTAGTGCAGTGTCCTTTAGTGGTCTGACTAGTGCAGTGCCCTTTAGTGGTCAGACTAGTGCAGTGTCCTTTAGTGGTCAGACTAGTGCAGTGTCCTTTGGTGGGTCAGACTAGTGCAGTGTCCTTTAGTGGTCAGACTAGTGCAGTGTCCTTTAGTGGTCAGACTAGTGCAGTGCCCTTTAGTGGTCAGACTAGTGCAGTGTCCTTTAGTGGGTCAGACTAGTGCAGTGTCCTTTAGTGGGTCAGACTAGCGCAGTGTCCTTTAGTGGTCT